CTTTCTTTCGTCACTTTACACATTCATACACAAAACATATAATTTTTTTTTTTTTATTATTTTTTTTTTCTCTACATTTTCATTCCTTATACATCACAATGTTTAGTATTTGTCATAAGATATCAATAACAAACATATTTTTATTGTTTTTATTTTAGATAATGACAATGAGCCCATTTTCAGAATTTTAAAGTACAAAATTAAATTAATTACTCTTAAATTTATTTTTGAAAACAAAAATATTAAAAACTTAAATGAATTCTACCCAAATGTATATGTATATATATATATTTCTCATGCGTAGTTCCGACCTCAATTAAATTATATTGGGTCTGCCAAACCCACTTACCAGATTTCTCTTTATTCTTGTACTATATACACCAAACAATAAATTAGGTAATATTTCAGTTATTTCCTCTTGATATATCCCAAAGGAAAGTCAACAAATACATGTACAAACATTAAGTTCAAGATTTGTCTTTGTCAATTTTTAATTTGTCTGGAAGTTAGGAATTGCTATATATTCATATTAGTGAAAATCTTCTTTGCTGGCTTGAGATAGATGTCAATGCTTGCTTCTAATTTCATCACTTAATTCTATATTATATTTAAGACTTAAAAAGAAATATTTTTATGATAATATATTATAAACTGCCGCTCTTGAATTTGAGATAGTTATTCTCATATTCTTAAGTATGGAAACGTGCACTTTAAATAGCTGGAAAAACGTTTTCAAAATGCAAAATTGAAGTTGCACTTGCGGGATTAGTGGATGACTCCCTCCACTTCCAATCCAGTGCGTAACTGGCCCGCGTAGGGGATGGGGCAACCATTACCCACTGGGTACAGTTCACCCCTGAAATCGGGTTGTAAGGGTGGGATTCGTGGACTCATCCTTAAAACCAGTTTGTAAGGAGAGGGAGTCCAAAGGTTGANAAACAAAATCTAGTGATCATGTTGTGTAGTTGCATTCTCCTGTCTATGGACTCTTTAACCCTCGAGAGCAAGCAAAAGCGAGCTCACATTATGACCCCAGGTTAGACGAGATTACCGAGTTTAAGCATATCAATAAATGAGGAAAAGAAACTTACTAGGATTCCCTTTGTAATGGCAAGCAAAATGGGAAAGCCTGGCTTGAAAATCGAGCATCCTCGACATCTAAATTGTAGTTTGGAGAAGGTCCTCAGTGACAGACTAAGCCCAAGTACCCTAAAAAGGGGCTTTGGAGAGGGTGAGAGCCCCATCACGACCAGACCTTATCATATCACGAGGAGCTATCTGTGAGTCAGGTTGTTTGGGAATGCAGCCCAAATTAAGCAGTAAATTTTGCCAATGCTAAATAAGGGCAAGAGACCAATAGCAAAACAATACCGTGAGGAAAGATGAAAAGGACTTTGAAATTGTTGGGATGGAAGCGAATAGGAGCTAGCGATGCACCTCATTTGGATATGGAACGGTGACAAGTCGGTTCGCTGATCGACTCGGGGCGTAGACTAATGCAAATTACGACGAGGACCCAAGCCCAAGCCGATGATACACCTGCGAAGACATTGTCCTCGCAATTGTGGTTGGCAACGCACACTACAAGGCGTGCTATGGCATATGCGCGCTCCTAGCGGTGACCTGCGAGCTCCCCATTCGGCCTATCTTGAAACATGAACCAAGGAGTCTAACATGTGCGCAAGTCAACGGGCCAGTAAACCCATAAGGCGCAAAGAAGTTGATTGGCGAGATCACTCACGGGTTGCACCACGGACCAATCTTGATCTTCTGTGAAGGGTTCAAGTGTGAGCATGTCTGTCGGGACCCAAAAGATGGTGAACTATGCCTGACATGCAAATCGTTTGTCTAACTTGGGTATAGGGGCGAAAGACTAATCAAATCGTCCAATAGTTGGTTATCTCCAAAGTTTCTCTCATGAAAGCTAGAGCTCGTGGGCGAGTTTTATTGGGTAAAACCAATTATTAGAGGCATCGAGGGTGCAATGTCCTTGACCTCTTCTCAAACTTTAAATAGGTAGGACGATTGGCTACTTCGTTGAGCCGGGCCACAGAATCGAGAGCTCTAAGTATGCCATTTTTTATAAGCTGGACTAGCGATGCGAGATGAATTGGAAGTCGGGTTACGGTGCCCAACTACATGTTAACCTAGAACCCACAAAGGGTGTTGGTCGATTAAGACAGCAGGACGGTGGTCATGGAAGTCGAAATCCGCTAAGGAGTGTGTAACAACTCACCTGCCGAATCAACTAGCCCCGAAAATGGATGGCGCTGAAGCGCGCGACCTATACCCGGCCGTCGGGGCAAGTGCCAGGCCCCGATGAGTAGGAGGGCATGATGGTCGCTGTAAAACCCAGGGCGTAAGCCTAGGCGAAGCAGCCATCGGTGCAGATCTTGGAGGTAATAGCAAATATTCAAATGAGAACTTTGAAGGTCAAAGAGAGGAAAAGTTCCATGTGAACGACACTTGCACATGGGTTAGTCGATCCTAAGAGACGAGGGGAAGCCCGTCCGATAGCGCCTAGAGCATGAGCTTCTAAAAGGAATCAGGATAAAATTCCAAAATCAGGACGTAGCGGCTGACGACAAAATGTATATTACTCAATAGACCAAGAGATAAGAATAAAAAATGAATTTTAAGGTTTTTTATTTTTAAATGAGAGTCTTACGAAGGTAAATTAATAATGAAAATTTAGAAATAAGTTAATTATAGATCTTGAAATCCATCAATACAAATCTTTCATTATAAATTAAAATAAGGAGCTAATCTTGTAATCATGGAATTAGAATCAATTATCAAGGTATTTTTAAATACTCGGGTGGCAAATTAAAACATATTATTTCCTAACATAAATTATATAAGTCATAAGTTAAGATCTATAAGCCAAAAGTTAAAACATATTTTCAATTGTTATATCAATTATTAGATTCTAAACATGTTCTCTATTATTATATATAATATTTAGACAAGTCATAGCCCAAATAAATAAATAAACACACACACACACACAATAATGTTCTAATTTTGTGGATGATTATTGATAAGATTCCGTATATAAGAACATATATTTAATTTTTTAAAGAAATGATATTATGTTATTGTGATTCAATTTATATATTTATATAATTACGTAATATATATGTAAATATTAATATATATGTTATACATATATATAATTACCTAATATATCTATAAATGTTAATATATATGTTATATATATTCTTGCGAATAAAAAATTTGGGCCCAAAAATAAATAGAGTAAAAATAAAACCATAATCATACAAATCTTTCATAGTTAATAGAGTGTAAAAATACATTGCAATGTTTTTAAAAGAAAAAGTTACCAAAAAAATAATGAATTAACTATGAAATAATAAAAATCCCTGAGTTCCCCACGGGCCAAGTTTGGGAATTCCCCTAAGCCCTCGTTCAAGGAACGGGCCAAGTTCGGGGAATCCCCTTGGGCCTTGGGATTGGGCCCCGAGATAGGGGTCCTCGGCCCCAACCCGGCCCGTGCCCATCCCTATGCTAACCCTGTTAAATTAATTTGGTAATTTATATGTATTTTTATAATTTTACGAAAAAAAATAAATTTTATATGTATTTTTATAATTTACGAAAAAATTAATTTTTATATTTATAATTTACGAAAAAATTAATTTTAATAATAAATAGTATAATACTTATAAGAATTTATAAAGTTCATTCTATGCCTTGAATTAAAACATTTATAATATAAAATATTAGAAAACCCAAATTCCAACTAAATCAAAACTCATTCTATAACTAATGTCCCGAATAGTAGTAGGTGGCTTGATGTTTTAGCACTTTTAAGGGTTATGGTTTAGGGTTTGTTATAGATTTGGGCCTTGCCCATGGTCTAAGCTGCAGCACCGCGACCCTGTGAGATGCCTACGCTGCAATCTCAACTTTTGATTCGGTTGCTTAAGTTTTTATCTATTTGACTTGGGTGATAAATGCAAAAACTAAAGACAATTATAATTATTTGATATTTGATGTAAAAAATAGTGTAATTTTAAATGGCCATTGATCATACCCCGATTTGTTTAAGGAAAAGAGAGTTTGACTAAACTAACCCTATATGTGACCTGAAATCTCATTCAATTCTCTTAATGAATAAATGAGGAAGTTTTGACGCATCGCGCTTCTGCATAAACAAACCAAACTAACATTCAGCATCATCATCATCATCATTGTAAATATTAATAAGGAATGTACTCTAAACACCTCCGATGTATACTCCATTTAAAGAAAGATGAAGGGGAAAAGAGAGAAAAATAGTCTAGGGATTTTATGGAAAAGGTGTAAGGTCAAAAATACCCTTCTTTAGAATTGAAAATATCAAGTTTACTTGCTTTAAGTTAATTTTTATAATAATACTACACTTATAATCTTTTCTCACAAATTTTCTCTCATAACCTTGACATGACAGTTTATAATTGATCAGCTTGTAATAGGTCTCACTTGGGTCCCATCTGATAAATTATTACTGATCAATTGCGAGCTGTCACATCAAAATTGTGAAAAAAATTTTGTGAAAAAAATTATGAGTGTAGTATTACTCTAACTTTTAACGGGAAAATTTTCAGCAGAATAAGGTTGAGGTCTAATTTTTTATTTCCCATATGAATAGCGGTTTGCTTCTACCTGATGTTCTACACGGTTTTGTTTGGTAAATATTCCGTGTTTTTATTTTATTTAAGAAAGTTAGGGTTTATTTGGTTTGTGATTTGAAAATAATTTTTAAAAATTAATAATATATTTTAAAAATATAAAATTTTACCTCAATATTTTTAATATATTAAAACGTATTAATATAATATTTAAAATTAAAAAATGTAAAACTAAAAAAGAAAATATTTTTTTTCAAATTTTAGACTAAGTTTTTCAAAATACACTTCCCAAGTAGAAATTCCATGTTTTGTAATTTGTAAACATGAGCCGAAAATTAATTAGAAAATAAAATAAAACAAGGGAAAATAGAGCGACTAGTACAAGAGTGAAAACCTTCTCATTGTCGCCCATTAGCCTCCGTTAGCAAAATCTTAAGTTTTTATCACTACCACCCAAAAATCTCCACAATCTAACGATGTTCCGGCAAGCCTCACGCCTCTTGGCTCGAACCACCACATTGACCAGGTCGCGAGCCTTCTCCTCCGAAGTCCCTGCCACCCCCACCGCCGACTCCACCTTCATCGACTCATGGAAAAAGGTCATACCAAACATGGAACCACCTAGCACCCCAACGTCTTTCATGGTCACTCGCCCACAAACTCCCACCTCCATCCCTTCTAAGCTCACTGTCAACTTCGTTCTTCCCTACGCATCTGAGCTTTCCAACAAGGAGGTTCGCTTTGGTTTTTATTTTATTTTTATTGTTTTTTGATTGAATTTTTTTTGTGATTGTACGATTAATTTTGCTATTTAGTTTTTCTTTTGGGTTGTTGGCATCTGGGTTTTGCTGGGATCTGATTGTTGTGTGGTAAATGATTTTGGGTGATTGGAATATTTGTTTTGTGTTTTCACACTTGGGTTAGGTTAAATTGATGATAATAAAACTAAACTGATTATATATATTTTTTTTTTTTTCTTATTCTGGGTTTGTTGGATTTGGAGATCAGGAGATTAATTGGACAGTATATGATGTGCTCTTGGTTTTCTGGTTTTAAGTTAACTGAACGAATTAATCATTTCCCAATTGTTGTGACGGGCAACAGACTTGTTTGGTTCTTTTCTTGTTAATTTTGGGTGATAGGATTTTGTAGTTATGTACATTTGGCTTGATTATTGTCTTTTGCATGTTCGACTTTTTTAAAAGGAAGGGAATGAGATATCAGTAAAGGAGAGAAGAAGAGGTGTTCTATTGTTTGGAATGAGAAAAGGAGAGTTATATTATTAGGAGTTGTTTCTGTCTTCTTTCTGATTTTATCAATCACAAATGCTACTTGTATAGTTCATTACTTTGATCACTTCAGCAGAGAATAGTGAATCAAGGTGAGAAAGTCAATCATTTGCTAATGTTCTTTGCCTGAGCTTGTGGAGTGGAAGAATAGGAGAGAAAAGATGGTGCTCAGTCACGCCCTCATATAATTTGCTTGTGTGGTGGATGTTATGCTCAATTGTTGTAGTGAGACCTTCAAAGTTGTAGGAGCAAATTTCAATGACCCAAGATGGTGTATATTCATGTCTCACACCCTCGTTCCTTTCATTTATATATGAATTTGGTTTGATTTGGTGTGTTTTCTGCTGATGATTGATGCAGTTCTTGGTTGGAATTTGGAACCAACTGTCGGGGATCCATTCCCAATAATTTATCAAAACCAAAACCAAGTTGCCATCCTAATTTTAACCTGTCAACACTTGGGTTTAGATTACCCATTTCTGCATTTAAATTATTTTCACTTCTGTGGGATGATATTATCTTTGTTTCTCAATGATGTTAAGCAGTAGTTTTTACCATCTTCTAACAGTAATATTTCACTTCTGTGAGATAATATTAACCTTATTTCTCAATGATCTTAAGCAGTAGTGTGGGAAACAATTGTTTGGATGTAATGAGATGGTTACTTTATCCAGTACATTTGTTATTGTCAAGAGGTATTTACATACGCAACTGTATTTGATGTTGTCAAGATTGAATTTTGAGGAATATGCAGGAAAAGATCACATTGATGCTATGAGATGGTTACTTGTTTTCTGTTATTATCAACTATTGTGTTGTGTGTCTGGGCTGATTTTTAGGTTTTTATCTTGTTGTAGTGTGGGAACTTTAAGCGGAGGAATATGAGTACTCTAAATCATTAGCAAATATGTTTGTTAGCTGATCCTATTTAGGGATCCTTTTTGCAGATCCTATTCTGCGGTCTGCTCTTGTAAATCCTGTTGCTTTATTATCATTAGTTATGTTTTCTACTTTGGTCTTTTGCAGGTTGACATGGTCATTATTCCAGCAACAACAGGTCAAATGGGTGTTTTGCCGGGCCATGTACCCACAATTGCAGAACTAAAGCCTGGGGTCTTATCTGTTCATGAAGGGAATGAGACTAAGAAATATTTTCTTAGCAGTGGGTTTGCATTTATCCATGCAAATTCAGTTGCTGATATAATTGTGGTTGAGGCTGTGCAAGTTGACCACATTGACCCAAGCTTGGTCCAGAAGGGGCTTGCAGAATTCACCCAGAAGCTGAGTTCTGCTACCACTGACTTGGAGAAAGCAGAAGCCCAGATAGGCGTTGATGTACACAGTGCACTCAACTCTGCTCTCACGGGCTAAATGATTTTCTTCTGCCTCCAGGTTCTCATTATGGTTCCTCTTCTGAGCTTCATTGACTGTTCGGTCTTCCATCAATGTAATCAGCAGGCCACTTAGATTTGTCAAGATATTATTACCGTGATCCTCAGAAGGTTAAAATAAATTTAAGAAACAAGAATCTCAATCTTGCTCTATGTTTCTTTTTAATCAAAAAAAGATCTTGCTCTTTGCCCTCGGTTTTGAATTTATTATGTTTGAGATTGTTTGACATGTTATACTGAAGTGGAATTGCTTCGGATTATTATTCTTTAGACTGGAATAAATTAATGTGATGTTTGGGTCCAAAATGATAAGCCTGTTTTCACAGGTTTTGAAGGAACATATTTGCTGTACCGATCAAAGGCTTGCAGTAACTGCTGCAAATTTGAATACTAAAGGCCGCGTGTGTGTGAAAAACAATCATATTAACTTTTTAAAATTCCGAATTGAAACAATTTAGAACTGGAGGTTTGGCAAAAGTTAAACCTGCTCCCAGGTTTAAAAAGTGACACTTTGGATCAATACTTTTCAACATATTGTTATTTACGCCTTTCTTTGGTATTTAGTAATACGGTGGGGGGTGGAGTTGGCAACAGTGTTTTAAAACTCAGCCCGGCCCGATTGGTTGAACCGGTTCAACCAGGACTCGAGGCCTTCATTGGGTTGGGTTACAAATTTTCTGATTTATTGAAACACCTCGAAATTAGAACATCAATCCTGAACAATTGAAGGCTGGAATATTAGGGTTTTCGAAGAAGAATGACCAGTGAGTGCAATGGTGGTGACAACAGTGATTTTTCATAAATGAATCAACCGAAAATTGCAAAACAATATTGTTGGAAAAAGCCCATTGTTGCCAGTGATTGGGGAGGCGAACGGGAGAGGAGTGAGATGAGTTTTGGTCAGGAGGTTGAAGGAAGTGTTTTCGTGGTGATGGGAAGTGTTGTCATCGTCGAAAACAGTACCTATTTGTCAACATCAACAATGATGTTTGGAGTGTTTTTGTAAGATTTCAAACCTATAAAGACTTACATGTAATTTTTAAAGGTATTTTTATTAGATTTCAAACTTTTGGGCACTAGTTTAACCAGTCGGTCAACCCAGGACTCGGCCATTTTATCGGGTTTCACCCCGGGTTGGGTTTTAAAACACTAGTTGGCAACTCATGTCCTATGCCAATAAAAAATGTAATAAATTACAATGAGATACATAAAACAAACCCATGTCTTCAACCCTACAAGCTACCAACAAGAAATTTGTCAGTATAGCCTCTTATTTTTTCTAATTTCTATCAAGATTTTTTTTAAAAGATGGAAATAATTATAAAATTATATGAATTTGATTTTTATATCTTTAAGAGTTTAGTATTAAACAATGTTTTAAAACCCGGCGCGGCCGATGTAACCGATTCAACCGGGACCTAGACTTCAACGGACCGGGTTTATATTTTTCTTATTCACCCAAAACCCTAAGATTTGAAAGGATGATCGGCGAACAATTGACGGTCAGGATGTTGGGGCTTTTGAAGAGAAAGTGTCGTTGAATGCAATAGTGGTGACAGAGTTGATATCCGATGAGTAAATTGACCGAAAATCGAACAAAACTAGTAGCAGCAACAACCGGCTTTTGCCAACGATTGGCGAGACTAACAGGGGTGAGGTGAGGTGGGTTTTGGTCAAGAGAAAGAGGGGAGTAATTTCTGGGTGATGGGGAGGGTTGTTGACAGCGTCGATGAGATCTAACCGAAATTGAACCTATTTCGACCAGATCTTGGGTATATTGTAAGCGGAATGGGCTCAAGGGACGATTGGGATTACATCTGGGGTGTTGCCGCGCCAACCAATCACCGGCCGATTTATATTTGGAGTGTGTTTGCTAAATTTCAAACCTATAGAGACTTCACTGTAATTTTTAGGGGTGTATTTATTGAATTTTAAAAGTTTTTGTCAACCGTTTAACTACTGGTCCTAGGACCCGACAACTTTGCCGCGTTTCACCGCGGGTTGGGTTTTAAAACATTAGTATCAAATAACACACTAATATGAGTAGTCTAATTCTCATTTTACTATATCCTGTATCTGCCACCACAGTTCCATTAATACTTAAAAGTTTTTATTTTGGAAACAGAACATTGATCCTTCTATATCTTCAATTTAAGAGAATATCAAACCAATAAGGAAAGCCTCATGGTTCAAGACACAATTAACTGCACGTGTGTAAACCTTTCCTCCATTAAATAATGATTTTTACTGAACAGAAAATTAATTTATATTTACACACGAAATTAATAAATAAAAATCCGGAAGTAAGCACATGTATAATGTATTTCTTCCGTAAATACAGCTTGATTGGAAGGGAAAAAATAAAAATAAAAAAATTGGCAAGTATTTCCAACAGAAACTTGGAGGACATGTATCACCCACCTTAGCAGCTACTAGTTGAGCCATTTTTGCTGGATTATAATCAGATGAGCTTAACAATTTCTTTCATCTCCAATCACTGAAAGGCAACCGATAAATACTCTACCAGTATGTCCAAAAGAAGTGGTGACATACAAAACAATCAAATCACCAGAAGGGTGTAAATAGATGAACTCCCTTGACAGTCTGTCATAACTTTGAGCTTACTCTCCAAGGGCAACCACCTTCAAAAGCCTGCTCTAAAACATCTTCCATTCGCTTTGCCGGAAGAAGCTGTTAATATGAAAAAAAAAAAAAAAAAAAAAAAACATCTGTGGTTGAGTGATACTCCTGACATGTAAAAAAACAATCATAAATTGAACATCGGACGCTATACATATAGCCCATGCATACAAGACAACTCCAGAGCAAGCAGTCCTTCCAAGTAGGAGTTATGTTGGAACTAAAAAAAATTTAAATTCGCATTTCACCCGAATTTGTATGTCATCATATTCCATTTTATCATGGTTTGGAGAAAGAATGGTCATAATCAACTGCATAGATTTCCTTTTCTGGTTCCTAGAAAACAGAAATTAACATGCAGAACTAGAGCAAAACATTGGGAAGAGCCCATGACATAAGTTCAGATTCATTGCTGCATATTATATATAGGCTGATGACATAAAATAATTGGATATTGCAGTCCCAGAACAGCAGAACGGATTGAATTTTAGTTCATTTGCACAAAAAAAAAAAAAAAAGCAATAATTTACCACCAATAAAATCAAAGTTACCTCCAGACTGGCAAGCACAGCTGCTGGCACTTCAGCTAAGTCCTTCATATTTCTCTCAGGCAGAATAACTCTCTTGATACCATAACGATGAGCAGCCAATACCTGTACACAAAAGATTTAAGAAAACAGTTTTAAAAATAGAATAATCAAATTATTGCTACTTTATCTTAATATAAACTGCAATCTTCTGCTGCTTAATTCCAGGGCAAAGACCTGGTCGTTCTCAATCAGAACAGTAAAATCGATATTTATAAATATCTAATATATATCATGGACATGGCATAAAACCATAACATCAATTATGATCATACAATTACCTAAGCAGACCAAAAGCAATGATAGCAAATGCCACGAAAATCAGACGTGCACATATGGATCATATAATTGCCCAAGCTTATTGATGCAGAACCAAGGGGCTTTAATGACTTGTGCTGTATTTTTGTTAGGATCATGAGTTTTGATATTTACTTTTATCATCTGAAAAACCTGATGTTGCGTTGATATCTTAACCGATATGATTATCTTTAGTAGGATTATCTTTTTGAATAATACTCAGCCTTAGATTTCTTTTGTGCCATTATAAATAGGCTGCGATTTACTTTATTTTAATGGACTACTAGAAAAAAAAAAAAAATTAGCATATCTATGCATTCAAGATTGTACTATTCTTTAGCTTTTTTAACATAAAAGTGTATCGAAATAAACTAACCTTTTGTTTTCTAGTAGTCTTATTATGACATCCCTATTTTGTTAATTGAATATGAATTAAAACTATTGAATTTTGGTCTTGGTTATCACTCTCTCTCTCTCTCTGTTCTCCCCTCCCTCTTCTCATTTCCATTCTTCTTAATTCTTTTTTTGTTCTTCTCCTTCCAAATCTCTATTCTTTCTCTTCTATTCTTATTTTTTTCTATCTCTTTCTCTCTTATTTTATTTCTCTTTAATTCTATCTCTTATCTCTATCTTTTCTTCTTTTCTCTCTATTTCTCTCTATTATCTGCATCTAGCTTCCCTTTCTCTTATACTACAAGCCTTAAATATCTCAATCATACATCACTTGTACTACAAGCCATGATGGCAAAATGACTGCTAAGCCAAACATGCACATGTAAGAAGACTCCATAGACAATCCCTGCACAGCTCATCCTATAAACAAAGGAGCCATAAGACTCAACATCAAATTTTGATTTCAAAGAATCATAAACAATTTTCTCACACAATTTCAAATCTGAAAGAAAATACAAACTACTTAAAGATGTTACAAACCTATATAATCTCATTAATTCTACTCCCCCATTGCTTCCCTGGATGGTTGTGATGAAAATAAAAGATACTACCCAAAGAATGTGAAAAAAATGCTGTGCATCCCTGTACTGTAAAAAGTCGTTCATAACATGGACGACACAACGTATAGAATGACCAATACCAATGTCCAACACAAACATGATAACTCACACATGGCACATGAATATATAAAACTTATATCGATATTGTGGAGTCAATCTGTCAACCATCCTTATAAGTCAAGGCACTGAAAATCAACTACAATGAAAATCTCTCATTCGGTAGCCTCTATTATACATCCAAATGGATACCAGATTATGCAGTAAACAAAATTTTAAAAGTTGGTTTCCTTTGTATAAAAATTCCAAGTAATAGATTTGCACGTCTAAAAGTTATATAGATGAAGATAACAATGACAATGAACCACATCATAGCCGAATTATTTTCTTCTTCAAATCAATAAAATCAACTTACGAAGTGGAAAAACATACCTTATCCTTGACACCACCAACAGGTAGCACAAGACCCCTCAAAGTCATCTCCCCAGTCATTGCCGTATCTGCTCTTACTCTTTTATGACTAAACAGTGAAACCAGAGCTGTTACCAGAGTCACACCAGCAGAGGGCCCATCTTTGGGTACAGCTCCAGCAGGAAAATGTATATGAATATCCCGCCCATCAAGGAGATTAATTTCCTCCTTGGCCACCAGCTGAAGATTTGTTGCCCTAGCTCTCACCTATAAATTAAAGGCAAAGGCACCATAAGAAATGGTTATATCATGACAAAGAGGTGAAACCTAAAATTTAGTTAGTCTAGAAAAATATATTACCCATGTCAGAGCTAGTTGTGCCGACTCTTTGATTACATCACCAAGCTGTCCAGTAAGATGTAAATCACCCTTTCCCGCCATTGCAGTAGCCTCCACAAACTGGACCTCTCCACCAAAAGTTGTCCAGACTAGCCCAACAGATACTCCAGGAGCTGCAACTCGTTCTGCAGTTTCTCTATCATCAAACCTTGGAGGCTGCATACAGTACAACAATAAAAGTCCTCAGAGCCATTAAGCATTATGAAAAACTTAATCTACAACTAAAAATGAGAAAACCAAGGCATTGTGTTTGTATAAAGCATGTTTACTTCAGAAGCAAATTATATATGAGGAGCTTGTGCTTATAAAGCAGCTTTCTAGATACTTCACATACATGACAAGTAAGAAATTAGATGATCTGCCAACGGTGCATTTAATAGTTTTTTTAGACAATTCTTATAAAAAATATAGTCCTTTGAAACCCTAAAATGTAAGTGCTTCATGATGCACTCCTATCAACAGTGACTTAATCCACCCATACAAATTCTAATTGCCGAGCAGATAAGAAAAACATCCTAAATCAAACAAAGCTGCAGTAAAAATAAAGCACGCCAGGTCAAAAACTAAGCACACTGAGAGGAAATTCAAAAGAAATATTGAAGAATTATTACCCCGAGTACTTTTTCTAGCATAGCCTCATCCACAACCAAAGGTGAGGCAATCCTGAATGTGTTGGATATTTCATGATTGTTTACACCCATTGGAATGACTTCCATCTCTACTTCAGCTCCATCAGCAAGCCTATTGTCCAACAATGCCGTAGTAAGCTGGTGCACATCCTTACTCACTGGAACAGCTTTTTCATTCTCTGCAACTCTAACTGCCGCTGCACGAGCCAAGGCAGCCAAGTTCCTCTCCAGATTCCGGACACCAGCCTCCCTAGTGTACCTCTGAATCACAAGTTTAACCATAGCCTACCACAAACAAAAAAAGCACTAAGAACACAGATTCCTGTAAAACTGATGCTTAACCATTTCCAATTAGTGATCCCTGGACAACGAAAGATACTGATAGGATACAGAAGTCATCAAAACTGGAAATTGAACACAAGGGAGATATTCAATCCTAGGGCAAGGCATAAAACAACTTTTTCACAGATCAGACACATGGCACTATACTGAACTATCGACCAACAGTTTCCAACAAACTGTTATGAAGTACATACCAGAATTCTCTCTTTTATTAAAAAAAAAAAAAAAAAAAAAAAAAAAAAAAAAAAAAAATTATACTTCCAAGAGGAAATTTTTAATGAAGGCGAAGTTGAGTGTAAGTACTTCAACAAAATGACTAACAAAACAAACTATTCTTTACTGTATCACTTTTAGTTATGACAAACCAAGCCTGCTTCTTCTACTCTTTGAAATGCAGCAAAGATAAGTTTATGAATATTTTTTGATCACTCAATACCAATTCTAAAGTCAGTGAAATCTTCTTTGCAATAAATTTACCACCTCAGGAATCTGGAGGAATGCAGAGCTCAACCCATGCTGCTCCAGCACCCTTGGAATCAAATGTCGCATGGCAATACTAAGTTTTTCTTCAGGTGTATATCCAGGCAGTTCAATGACTTCCATCCTGTCCAACAGCGGAGGAGGAATGGGCTGTGCCCTATTTGCAGTTGCCACAAAAATTACCTTTGAAAGGTCAAATGGAACATTCAAATAGCTAAAGATCCTTCAGTTAAGGAATAGCTCTAGCTATACTTCCAATCACAAAATTGTCAGATTGATGGGAGTTAATAATTTACATGAACACCAAATGAGTAACCTAGTCATAAAAGGACACCATGCAGATTATACATATATACCATCTCAGAAGTTCGACCATTGTCCAATAAACAAATTCATCCCAAAAGTATGCATGTTTTATAACATCTAAAGATGTTAAAACAGGGTAACAATAGGTAAGTGACATACAAAATACTCATTTTATCCAAAACCAATAATTACTGAAAGAAATCCCACAGAAAAAGGATACTGATCATTGAATGTTTTATTCTGTTCGGGGTCAAGAACCTCCAGCAGAGCAGAAGCAGGATCCCCACGTACATCAGAACCAGTTTTATCAATCTCATCCAGCAGCATGACTGGATTGCAGACGCCTACTCTCTGAAAACAAAATGCATATGAACACTTCAGTCTTCTCACCCCTCAAAATACACACACAGGAATGAGACAGACAGAGTGAGAGAGTCAAAGAAGAGATTTGAGTTACACCAAAATATTATCATCCCACAATTAAAGAACCATTGTATAAAGGAATCCTGTCAGCTAGACCCATATCTTGTCTAATCACCCACATTAACGCATCAGGATCAACACCAATACCCCCACAAAGGTAATTAAGTAATAATTTTAGTTCTTTTAAGCTGAGATAGTGACACAAAAACAATTGGCAAATTTAGAAAACTGAGCAACTATCAAACCCAGACAAAGACTTTCGCATACACTATCTAATTCATTCCGACTTAAGCCACCATGAGGTAACAAACGGTACCGCTATTTACAAGCATAATATTGTAAACGTTTAACACAGGTGTTCACATCCAATACACACTAGTGAGCTATTAGCAATCCATATACCAGTCTTACGGCTATATATACATGTCTCTGTGTGTGTGTGAGTGCACTTGTTTGCATGCACTTGAAGTTGTCAAAAATAGTAGATCAAACACATATTTCTTTTTTATGAAGGTTCTGTAATCATTTGCATCTCCAACATTAGACAGATTATTCAATGGACAAGAATGAATCCAGATTGGGACCTCTTCAGTCTAGACTATGCACAGCTTTATGTGTTTTAATATTTCTGTGCGATTTCAGATTCGAGAACAAGATTTAGACAGAAATATGATTTTTTTCTTGTACATCTAACCCAACAACTTATAAGAAGCTAGTATACAACATATTTTACCTTCAATCCATCAATCAGACGCCCTGGCATGCTTCCAATGTACGTCCTCCTGTGCCCTCTTATATCAGCTTCATCCTTCACGCCACCAAGAGATATGCGTACAAATTTTCTGCCCAAAGCTGAAGCAATTGATGATGCCAAAGATGTTTTCCCAACACCTGGTGGGCCAACAAAACACAAAACTGGCCCTCTTGCATCCGGTTTAAGCTGCATTGTAAATAATTAATCCAAATTAAGACCAGTTTGAAAACCAAAATCATGAAAGACATTTATACCAACAAGAACTAGATAAATGGACAACCTTGCGCACAGCCAGATATTCTATAATCCGCTGCTTTACCCTGGTTAAACCGTAATGATCACTGTCAAGACGTTCTTTTGCAGCTTTTAGGTCCAATTCAAGTTCTTCACTGGCCTTCTGCCATGGCAAATCAGCAAGAAGTTCCAGGTATACTCGTGAACTATTATATCCGGGTTGCTGTGGTTGCAATTTCTTAAGCCGCCTGAATTTGATAAAAGAAAAAAAAAAATAACAGGAAAAATGAGTTGGAAGTTTGCCGCCACAGTTACAGAATATATTGAACAAGAATCATGCACTTAATCAAAGCAATAGGACAAAGAGATCCAAAGTTGAACTTTGACAAAGAACAAGGAGGCAAAATTTTCTCAAAGACAATGTTTTCACCATAAGGCCCAAGGTATTGTTGATGAAGTTTAGATATTTCACAGCTCAATCTCTTTTTCGTAGCATTTAATGACATTTTCCATCAAAAATATCATATTTAGCAGCAACCAGCAACTAATTTTTTTTTCCAAATATCCACTTCATGCTGTTTGGTATTACTAAAATGATCCACCCATGTATGATTGTTAGTATTTATCACTATCCTCCCAAAGATATCATACCTTAACTCCCTCTGTACATGCTTCCAGACATTTGAAGGCATTCCTGCACTTTGCATCTTTCTTTCCAAAGCAACCAAATCATCCTCATCATCATCATTATCACCAAGCTCCTCTTTAATGGCCCTCATCTGGACAGATTTTTTTAGTAGGCCAAAAGAGGATTACTTTGACAGATAAAGGTAAGAAAGACAAGATAACAATTCACCTGAACTACCCATAGCCAGATAACCAACATTCATGATTTATATACAATAAGATAGACTTGAGCAGTATGCAATTCTGAAGAAAAAATATATTTATTCAATTTTGATTAGCTCAAGAAGGATCCCCAAATGAATCATAAAATGAACTTTTTGACCCAATCATGGCAATGACAACTCAAATAACAAGATGTAAGTGTAAAGCACAAAAATACCAATAAATAAATTCTATCAATAGGACTCAAAAAGTCAACCATTCAATTTCCACTAATTAAGAGAGGAAAAAAAATACTCATCATGGATAAATGCTGAAATGTCTAACAAGTATAGGGCAAAAAGGTCCGGTTGAAAGAACAGAAATTTAAAGACAAAACTATGCTCATTTTGTTTGCTTAATGCTAGTTGATGTTTCACAAACTCAATATTAAAAGGCAGTGACCAATTTTTCAAAATTTGAAATCAAGTGGCCTTTCATTAACATTTTAATTCAGAAAAGCAGAAAAAGGAATTTTGGTTAGATTATTTCAAGAGGAACTTGTAGGAGTGTTCATAAATCTTCAATAAATTCTATAGTCTCTTATTCCAAAAAAGAAAAAAAAAATATGGTGCTACCTGCTACCTCCAACTTCCAAGAATTTAATTTCATTTCAATGCCCTTTTGACACTCACTTATCTTAATATTTAATCTCATACTATAAGCTTTTATTACCAAAAGATTAATTCTCTAATGATAGTTTGCAGCCTAGACGCCCTAAAAAAATCAGCCTATATATGATAAGCAATTAAGCCTTCTTCACAAGCCTAGCTGCTGTACTTTAAGTCCCACAAAAAATGCTGAAATAAAAGAAATTCCCTCTGTGACTTTGAAAATAAACAACCCATCTCTTTACACATCAGTAACAACCAGAGTTAAACTTTCCAATATCCATGGCTGAGGTGGAAATGCTAACCTGCTGGCGTAAAAGAAACTCTTTCTGTGATTTTGACAACTGTCCCTCAACCTTTTGCGTGATCTTCTCAGCTACACGTATTGACTGTCAAAATTTTAACATTAAGATGAGTACACAAAGGCAAGATCAATTGATTGGATTTAAATCAACAGTGAATCTATAAATTACCTGTAAATGCCTGTCAACTAACTCAGTAGCTTTTGAAAGCCTCACTTTGAGGTCAACTGAATCCAACATCAATAGCTGCTCTTCAAAGCTTATCTCAAAGCTAGCAACAAAAATATCGGCCAATTTGTGAATTGGAACTGTTTCCAAAAGAACTTTTGTTCTCCCACTAGTTTTTTGTTTCTGTGAACAGAAGTGAAAACTTAAGATCTTGATTGAGAGAGAACATGATAATAGCTAGCTCTAAAAGACAGCTGTACATTTTATGTTTACATAACCCCATGGGATATTCTTCAACTAATCTTAGCTCATCATACTGTCCCTAGCTATCTAACCAATGATGCACTTAGAAAGCTTCCATCTCCTCCAACCATAGGCACTAAACCTCATGACCCCAAAAAGAACTAAAAAACAAAATGTTCTAAGGTTAAATTCTTTTTTTTTTCTTATTTAAGAAACAAAAAATCTATAATTAAATTACTTTCAAGTACCATTATAGAATATATATACATGTATGGGCTGTTATCTTAGATCTTTTTTATGCTCTCCAATGAGGAAGTTGTTCCATGATATCTTTTATTTTCTTGGTAACAGGTTTTTAAACCAGAGAATACTCCATTTGCTGGGAATCAACCTCCATCTTTACAAACCCGGGCCTCAATCAAACAAGACAGCGCACTAAATAGAAGTATAAACACCATCCTGAATAAATGAGTGAAGTCCCACTTCTTAAAGGTGCACAAACAATAATGGTTGGCAACACAATCATTGAAATTCAAGAGAAGTGAACAAGCCTATAAGAAATTTGATACTATTACTAATTCCAGTAATCAGAACATATAAAAAGAGAAGACTGTATTAGTAGCAGCCTTAGATGCTTAAGCAATTAAAGAAAATAAAAGACTAACACATATATTAAACACAGATTACAGCCTACCAAAAAAATAAATCCCTAATCTGCAAGTAGCAGCTTTGAAAAGGTAACAAATGTGGAAAATTTGGTCTTGGACAATATCAGACGAGGAAAAGAAATAATGATGTTATGGAAATGTTGCACCCTGGTTTTCCGTAACCCAAACGGACACTTGTGAGTGTATTCATCCAACCTATGAAGATTTAAAGATTAGAATATAGTGAAACAAGTCTCACCTGCTCGAGAACTGAAATAAGCTCCATGGCAGTTGCTTTGAACTGACGAGACAAAGCCATGAAATCTGGATCTTGCTCTACTTGCTCCATCTCTAATTAAGATTTAAAAGCAAAAGCTACTTAGCATATTCAAATATGAGGATAAAGAGCTCGTCAGTTATCTTCAGATCAAAAATTTAAGAAAAAAGACAGCTGCATCAGCAATAGTCCACAGAATAAACTGTCAAATAAGATACGTTTCATGATGTATATTTCTAAGCACTGAAAAATTGCAAAGAACACATAGGGTTCCCTCCTAAAGCTTTGCTGACAACATATTCCAAACATACAAGATTCTTCCCATAAAACCAACATTACATACACATAATTTTCATCTTTGATTACACAAGACTCCTAGAGCTGAAAGATATCTTTTTTCTTAAGGAAAACATTTTAATTATACTATTTACTAGTGTTAAGTTTTTTTTTTATCTTTCTTATTTAATAAGATTATTTTTACTTAAGTTTAGTTTTCTTATGTTACTTGTTTGAGTAGAAGTTATGATACATATTTAAGTAGGAATACTTTCTTCATTGCCACTTTTGGGGTTGTGCTTTTCTGTAAGCAGAGCATATCTCTCTCTTTTCTCTACTGAACTCCCCCCCTCTGCTTTCTTCTCTAGTTTATATTCTCTCCGTATTTCTAATTTTTATTCTTTCTTCTTCCTTTATTCTCTGCTTAATTTCCTACATCAATCCTGTTACTCAATATTTCATGTTAGGATCTCCAATAACCAAGTTGGCAAGAGGTCATAATCAGGGCTAGAACTATATCACATGGAACAATATCAGACAGACTGACAGGTTCGAATATAGAGATGCTGCAGAGACAACCCTCATCAGAATGCAACTATGATCACAATTTGCCATTGGAACACTATAATTTCTTGATAAAGCTGGGAAAAGAAATTAACAGAGCCATGTAAAAGTTTAAATGATCAATTTTAAATCAATTATAAATCCCCTAACCAACCATATCCAATGCACGATATTCAAAACAAAAGAATGCAACCGGGAGCTTACCTATCTTTGTCATCTCAAGCGCAGATATACGAGCAGTATAATATGTTCCTCTTGTGCTAAGTTCCTGGACACTGAACCGGCACAAGCCTTCAAGCACAACAATGTATGTCACCCTCCCACTTGGTTTCTCCACTCCTCTTGAAAGATGTAAGGCACGAGCTGCGACTCCCCTGAACAAGAGAAAACCATATATAGTCCAGCAAAGTGAATCTAATACTATCTTCTAAAAAGACCCAAAGAAAATGAAAACATAAAATAGGTCACTGGAACAGAAATCAATTACAAAAGCAGTAGCAGTCCTAAAATTGTTATTATAAAACTATAATCGAAACATTCTCCAAAATACAACATAACTTGTGCTCACTCAAAATATACCTATTGTGCCAATGAATAACTTCGTGCTGATTTTTCCCGTCAACCTTGTGACCATCTGATGCGCCAACTTGAATCTTCGGCACTCTATCTCCAGAATCACTTGCAACTCCTACAAAATTAGGCAACTAAATATTTGTCCCCTTTCATTCCGGGATTCCATCAAATACGCACAACGCAAGCTAAATCACCTTGAGATAGTGTTGGGCCCACTGCAGTAGGTTCGGCAGCATCTCGGACTGGCAGTATACCAATCAACCCCTTCTCTTCTCTCTGCCAAAGTTCTTGCTCCACTAATTTCACACTACATTATCCGACAGATTATTTTCCTCAATTTCAAATTTAGAAACATGAATTATGATCAATCAGACAAAAGTAGACCAGCATACCACCAAGATTAATTTCTAAACATATAACTAATAAGAGAAATGCAAATTAGCTCACGAAGCCATCAAAACGAATATAATACACGAATTCACGTCAAAAAAAAGATAATCAACAGAGCAAAAAACTGTAAAACCAAACAAAAAAATGAAAGTCAAACAAACAAATGAGCGGAGAAGAAGATGAACAAAACCTGCTGGGTGAAGTGCAACGAATCCGAATAATGGCGCCAGGTAAGAGGACTTTGTTCCTAAATGGAAGGATTCCAAGCCGACTCGGTAACTCAATCGATTCCGCCATGTTTTGGGGTCGTCACGGGAAAGGTATGTTTATGTTACTGAGAGAGAATTTGAGTGAGTTAATAAATAAGAAGAAGAAGAAGAAGAGAAGGGATAAACAAAACAAAAAGAAGAAGAAGAAGAGTCAGAGATGGAGAACGGGGGATGCACACATGGCTTGTTAGTTGGTTGGTGAATTTGGTTTGGTTTGGTTTGGTTTGGATTGGGTCAGTGCCAAATCAAAACGGTGACGGCTTTCTCTCTCTATTTCATTACTTTTATCTCTCTCTACCCCTGGCTGAATCGTTTTGTTACTACATCAAACTCTGAAAAATGTTTAGTATCACGCAAGTCCTTGTGAATTCATATATTTACAATAAACCCCTTGTGTGTAAAAAGAATAGTGAAAGCGGGTAAAAATTAAACTTGTCTTTTTGTACAAACAAATAGTGTTTAGATTAGAATAAAAGGGTGTAAATTAAGGGAGACGCGTGAAGAAAAGAAGTACAAAAAAATTATCAATCAGAGGAAACAAACAAAAATTACATTATATAAGTATTTACGGAGTCTATAGTCAGAAGATTCCATAAATTAAATTAAATTTAAAACTTATGTGCTTGTTTGAGATTGAAGTATAGTTATCACTAAAGGCATACCACTATCCAATTATTGACAAAGACTAAAAATAGTAAAACCAAACATCTGCATCTTTAAATTGACCAGATTTTATTAACTTTTTCAATGATTGATTCAAAATAATCAATTAAGATATTTGAAAAGTAATTAATATCTACTATAAAAATCAACACATGGAATTCAAACCATTCATTAATGAAAAGACACCCACTTGGTGATTTAGCAATAATTAAATTATAAAATAAATAGCCATCATGGAAGACCATCAAATCAGAGGATGTGTATGAAATTTTGTTTCTATTATAAAATGTTACCACACTGTAGTTCATATTTGGAAACCCGTACTTTAACGATAAATACACCTGAAGTTAGTGAATATTAATTATTCAATTATATTTTATGTATATCATAAATTCCCCTCTTTCTCACGAAACTACCATTTGGATTCCAATCTTGCATTTGTTTATTATCAAATCTGACCAATATCACTATTCAAGAAAAGAAATATCATTAGGAACAGTAAAATGGGGTTATTTTAAGAATATAAAAGTAAATCATTAGCTCCTGCCCCTAATATGAAGACAACATCTCCTTTTCAGCAATTGTGAGCCGTCAGATCACCGGATAATGCGGGCGATTACGCGTGCACTTGTTAGACGGTGCAACGTCGGCTGCAAGTGAACGAGTGTACAAGCCTAAGCCGACCGAGTTTGGGCAATAAGTGGGATAATAACAATTTCACCCCTAAGATTTCATCTAAGCTTTGGTCTAAAAAAAGTTAAGTTAAATATAAGGGATAAAATTGTATTTTTGGCGCTTTTTAGTTTGGCGTGGAGTGGGACCATTTAAGTTAAATGAGACGTGGCAGATGGCGATAGGGATAGGGACAGATCCAGTTACAATGGCCATAGAAAGAGGATATAAACACACTTCACAAGTGGGATTATGATTTAATGGTATTAAAGACTTTGGATTTTTATGCCAAATTTTAAACGTGATAATACTTTTTAATTTGTGTGGAGGAGGAAAGCGTTCTATGGTCTATGTGATGTCACCGTACTATTCATTGCTTTTGTCACCTTTGGATTTGTACATTTATTAAAATTAAAATAAATTGTTTGATTTACATTTGATACTACATTATAACTTAAATTGATGATAGTAATTTTATAATCATTTATTTTTTATAATTTATTTTACAATGCCGACATGAAAAAAGTTAAGTTGATGGAACCCTTAGATTCAATTTTCCAAATCTAAAAATTCTTATCCTTAAACATATTAATAAAATATTTAATTTCTCATTTTTAATTAAAAATTTCTTATATATGTAATATTAAGGATTGTTCATAATTCAATTTGAATTTGGTTATTCGTCAACCAGACAACCAGTGGCCATGTGCTTGGTAATTTATCAACAATGTCTTAAAAACAATTATCTACGGAGGCAATAACAATTTCAACAATTGTATTCCCTTAAAGTCCAACATAATCTGATACTGACAAACCAACCCAATTGTCATAAATTTTATACAAAAAAATTAAGAAAAGATAAAGGAAACCAATTTAAACTCTACTTGATATGTGTCTACATTTTCTCTCCACCCTCTACTTCTCTCTCTTTATTCTAAATTCTACACCATTTTTTCAACTATATACATCAACAATGGAGGAGTGGTGCTAGTGAACAAAATCACATATGATGAAATTTAAGATGAAGACATTAGTGTCTTTGTCTAACACATGGTGTCAAGGCCATGTAGCTTGGCCAAATGACAAGTCGACATGTCAATCACAAACTAATTGGGCAAGGTTCATACAATCAACCAATGATAATCATTGTTAACAAGTATACTACCAAATAACTTTTTCTTTTTTAATTGGTATCTATAATTGATTTTGTATACATTCATTAATCATTGTTAACAAAATGATGAAATTTATGGAGAATTAATTTGTCTGACATATGTAAGTGATTTTGATTATTTGTTATAGTTTAATTAACAAGCGGTAAATGAAAATAATTTACAAAGACTATTTGTTTTTTTTTTGTTCCAATTTTGTTAAGATATTAAATTGAAATTAAAGCACATAATTGTAGCTAACGGTTAATTAACTTAACGTGGCTTAGAAGTTTGGATCATTTTGTTAGTATAAGATTACGTTGGGTCAAACAAACATAAAGGATGAAATTGAGATTCCCCATTTTTGAGTTAGAAAGAGAAGCACTCAAATCGAAGTGCGTCAACGAACAACTCTACTAAAAATAATTAGGTGTACTGTGCGACAGACAAGTCTGAACAAGTACTATATAATATCTTCATTCTCAGCCACTCCGTATTCTTTATAGAAGTGGTTTTGAGAGTATTAACTTTTTTTCAAAATAAATGACATTTTTTTTTTACCCAAACCTTCGTTCTCCGTCCTGCCCCTTATCTCCTCTCTCTGACTTTTTCTCTACCCTATCCCATACTCCTTTCTCTCTTTATGTATCTCTTCCCCTCATCTCTCCCCTTTTACAATTTATTTCTCTTTATTTTAATATTTCACACGAGTGTAAAAACTTAAAACGACAATTATATGGAAACAGAAGGAGTATATTATATTGCACATTTTGAAAAATAATAATAATGCCCATATTTGCATCAATGCATAGAGATTCACCTAAAATATCTTGGTTCAATGATATTTATTTTGAGTGAATGCTTTTTCCCACCCAAAGTTGTCTTAATTATTTTTCCCTTCATAAACTTTGAAAAAACATTTTTCCATCTATCATTAAATTTATGAGCGATGATATACTTACAACTGAATCATATAAAAAACAAAAAAAGATAGAGTAGTCATTTTATATAAATTTTGTGCAATTTTTTTCTGTTTGTATGTTTCAGTTGTAAGCAAAATATAATTGTAAATTCATACATTCATTTTAACAACAAAATGACATTTTTATCAGTAACTATAATATATATTATAGGGTTAACATTACTTACACCCTTAAATTACAAACAGATAACAATTACATTCACCAACTTAGAAATTAGTCATTCAAACCTCTAGCTTCTATATCTATAATCACAAAACAAAATTTTATTAAAATTGTATATATTTTATGAAATTATATAAAGATATAATTTTAAAAAAAAATCTGAAAAATTGTAAGAAAAATATGAAAATAACAAATTAAGAAAATTTGAAAAAAAATGAAAAAAAAAAGTTGGCCTGAAGATTTCGGTTGGCTGCGATTTGACTGAATTCGCACTCGATTAGGTGCAAATTCGACCAAATCGTACCTGGCCTGCGATTTCAGCCAACTTGTTTTTTTCATTTTTTTTTTCAAATTTTCTTAATTTATTTATTTTAACAACTGACTTTATTTTTTTATTTTTTTTAAATTTGTTAACCCTAAAATTAATATAAACCAAGCTAGGTGAAAAATACATTTAATAAAGTTTGGGTGGAAAAATGTTATTCAACCTCATTAAAAATTATAACGTCAAATAGTAAAGAGTATTATAGTCTTTTCATAGCTTCATCCCTGTCACATAATTTTTAATGGATCAGCGATGGGATAAAACAATTGTATATGAACAACAATTAAACACAAAACTTAAAGAACAAAAAAAAGTTTTTAAAGTGGTTTGACTGCTTATAATGTAAAACCTACATCCATTGTTATATATTGAGTGTATTTGCGAACTCAGTTACAAAAGAGTTACCTCAAGTTCTCTTCTCAATTCCTCTCTTTCTCAACCTAGCTATTATTCTCTATGTGTTTATGTTTTGTTGTGCCTTCAAAATGTACTAGGGTTGGGTTTATGTAGCAGCCATTACAAGTTTGAATTGGAAATAAACACTGAATCCTTAAAACATGAAAACAACTTGATCCTCGGCTTCAATTCTGAAGTCCGTATCGTATGATATCTCCTTGGCAAAGTTGGAATTCTTCCCTGATTGAGAATTATTCTTTCTGAATTTACCACACAACACCTACCCCCTAGTTTGTGGATATCAATTTCGAGCATTAAAAACTACGAGCTCTAAAAATAAGTTGACGATGTGCGAGTTCCTAATCTCTTCATGACGAGCTCTACTCATGATTACAAATTATAGACGAGCTGTGGTGATGTGTCGATGACGAACTACAAGCTATCAAGGTATGTTTTTGCCTTGTGCAAGAAGCACACATGTGCAGTCACCTTGCGAGCTGAAATTCCCATAAAAAGAATTCTTTGTATGACTTTGTGGGGGGCAAAGTTGGTGTTTCTGTTTTGGAAAAGCCAAAAAGGTAATGTCACATTCATACATTTAATGCCACGTCTATCAGCCTAACAGTCCCTTTTTTCTGCACAAAATGCAATATTTACCAACTATGCTATACGACAACTTGATTCCACGCCCTAATGCGTGCCATGTGGCGAGTATTGAACGGTTGAGATTGCATCCCACCTATCTTATAAATCAAGACTTCTTCTCGAAAGTAGGGTTTCTATAAAAACTTGTCAAACATTTTACGCTTTGCTCCCAACTTTCGAACTTCTCTGACGTTACTCTACAGTGTTCCAACATCTACTCCAACATTCTTCTATCGACTTCTTTAAAGTAAGTTCACCATTTTTCTTTATGTCACTTCTACTGCCTTTATGTTTACTGGACTTGTTTGCATTGGTAGATTTAGGCTC